CAGCCCCATCCTGTCAGCGAGGTCGGCCACCTCTTTGGCAGTGGTCCCCAATACTTCCCAATCTACCGGAGGAAATGGAAACTACTTGGGCGGGAAACTTTGCCTAATTTTATTCAGAGTCTCCTAGAGACATGATGATCTTTTACGTGCCGTAAATCTATGACACGGGACACACGGCTTAAAGTCCTTCCCGGAGGACTTGTTCCCTGAATTTTTCCGCCCTTAAAAATTCCACGACCTCCGCCGGGTTTGAACCCATGTACCTTGAGTCATGAGGTGGGAACGTTACCCCTAGACTACGGAGGCCGCTTAAGGCAAAAGAATAATACTGTAACAGATATATGAGAAAAAGATTGTGACAACATAAAGCAAAATGAAGGGAAAGGGCATCCTTACATTTGCTAAAAAAAAAACAACATTTTAATAGTAAGAGTGAAATTTGTTGTATTTATGTACTTTTCATGACAAAATGTAGCACATTTATCTCAATTCCCTCAATTTTAAAACATGGAAAACCAGGAGTCATTTCAAATTCAGGGGAAAAAAAATCCCTTCAAGGTATCAACAGTACCACACCAATGATATTTTTTTATAAAACATTATGAATTACTTGTCAAAATAAACGTCAGATCTATAACAGTGTGTGAAAAGGGGTCAAGTAACCTGTGACACATGCCAGAATATAAAGCAAAATGTACTGAATTAAACATGTTTTTAGATTCACTCAATTATGGTGCGGAGCCCTTCTTGAGAAGCCCCCAACTGTCCAGCTACTCAAGAATTTCCCAGCATTTTTTGGAACCCAAAGGTTCATTACCATGTTCACAAGAGCCTTCCACTAGTCCCTATCCTGAGCCAGATCAATCCAATCCATACCATGCCATCCTATCTCTCTGTCCAATGCTTCGAGGTGTTCAATTTCAATTTCTGATTCATACGTTTTTAGATTATTTATATATTTTGTCCCTGCCACCAACTTAATGAGAGCTGACTGCATTCAAAATATTCTGCAAATCTGCAGATCACGCTAAACTATTATGGCAATGTAAAGCATATCAACATACTCTGCAGGCGGTAAGAAGTTTATGCAGAATCTGAATGACATTTCACTAAAACTGTAAAAGTTAGTTATGTGAGCCCAAGTATGCCTTTTCTTTTCTTCTGAATTTCATACACAGCTCCTCTATCCTCAGTTTATTTAAATTAATTTTAAATCATCCAGTGCTAACAGGTTAATATACGAACTATTCCGTGTTTAAGCTAATAAATTATACCACGTGCTTCCCAACACACCATAAAAGGCTTTGTGAATTTCTCACAAAAACTTACACAGACTGGTACCATGGCACTAAGCCAAAGATCATTAATAGCCTGGATGTCAAATTAACTTACCTCTTCCTGCCTATAGCCGAAGAAAGTGTTGTATTCACCAGGTCTACCAACAAACTTTCCTTTAAAGAAAGCAGTGTAGAAAATTGATGCATAATAGTTGACAAACTGTAGGAGGTAGATTTTCAGCGTGAGGCTGTCATCAAACTCGGTCTGTGTTCGTAACAGTTCCAGCTCAGTAAGGTACTTTGCCAGCCAATTGTATATCTGCAGAACAATGAATAATACAGTGAAACACTCTTACAGGGTTTTTGAAAACAGCTGAACTGAGCTTATTAACCAGCAAAGGATACTGCAGACTCAGTGTTTAAAGGAGATAGGTTAGATGCAATTATAATAGATTTTTCAAAGGCTTTTGACTTCCTTCCCCATGATCGGCTATTTACAAAAATTGTGGTCTCGAGACTGGACTTGAGGGTAAGGGAATTCCTTTTGGGCCGTACACAGAGAGTCAGAGTAGGAGGGAAATTATCACAGGAAGTGAGGGTAACATCAGGAGTACTGCAAGGAAGTGTTTTAGGTCTATTTCTGTTCCTTGCATATGTGAATGATATCTGGATAAATACTGAGCCATCTATTAGACTTTTCACAGATGACTGTATAACATATACGGAAATTTTAAATAATAAAGACGTAGAAAAGTAGCAGACAGATCTGAACAGGCTGGGGGAGTGGGCAGTTCAAAATGCAATGCTAATCAATCCCAATAAGAGTAAGGCAGTTTGTTTCATGACAAGCTGTGCCGGAACAGCTAAATTATTCATTAAGGGACACAGTAATTCCATAAGTGAGCAGCTGTAAATAGTTGCAAATAATTTTACACAGCAATTTAATCTGGGTTGATCAAGTATATTACAGAGTGAAAATGCAGTGGGAGGCACTTCATTTTTTAACTTGTATTCTTAAAGAGGGAAAGAGTATCTAAAAGTTTATAATTTTCATTTCATGTATCCTCTTGTGTCTATTATACACAATTCTTTATTGGAATCTGTCATAACACAAGAACATAATGGTCAAAGTCAACATTACATAGCTAAGGTAATTCTGACCTTGACCATTATGTTGTGTTATGACGGATTCCAGTAATGAATTGTATAAACTAACAGTTTAGCCCTCACTCACTAGTGCGTCCAATACTCGTACTTCAATAGGAGGCAGCATGTTGAGATCCTCATAGGGACAGATAAATGCGCTAGACCGAGTGCAAAACATAGCAGCTAAATTGGCTCATCATAGAAATGATTCGAACTGGGAAACCTTAACACACCACAGAAAGATAGCTGGCACATGTGCTCTCTTCAAAGCATACATGCAAAAAGGGCCTTGGAAGGCTGTAGGTAAGTGGTTCTCAACCTGTCAGACCGTGGCTCAGTAAATTCTTTTTTCTATAGGAAAGAGGCCCAGCAGCTGAGAAACACTGCTGTAGGTGACAGATTACAAAGCCCATGCTATCTGAGCAGGGTCGATCATGATATGAAAATTAGGAGCAGAAAACAAAAGACAGATACCAGAAAATATTCATTTGTAAGTAGGACCTTCTTCAGACACGTGAGGATAACTGAGGAGCTATTTGAATATAAAAGTAGCAGCTCTAATCTAGAAAACCGAGATTAACGACAGTGGAAATCCATTGCATTGACCATGCAACATCCTGTTGGCACTAACTTCGCCGACAAGCGGCAGTCGCTTGGTTGGCATGGTTCGTTTGTGGACTAAAAGCTACGGATTTTTTTTTAATAGAACCATCTACCTTTGGAACCAACTACCTGCAGATGCTTTAGGGACTGTGTCCTGTAAACCAAGTCATTTTAGAAAAACAGTTAAGAAAGTGATAAATAAGGTGAAGTGAAGGTGTGGGGAGGGGGACATCTCAGTGCATCAGGCCATGAAGATATGAAATGGTACTGTATTAGGGTAGAGCATGTCATTTTCCTTTTCATTATCACAATTTCTTTATTATTATTATTATTATTATTATTATTATTATTATTATTATTATTATTATTATTCTCTGAACAATCTTACATTAATTAGTGGTATTTATATTGGTACTGTATTGGAAATTGTGTAGATACAAATGCATATAGATGAGCCGTTAATACCTGATCCTAGCCCTTCTGAGGTTGAAAGTTCTATTGCAAAATTGAAAAGGTTCAAATCGCCAGGTAGTGATCAAATTCCAGCAGAACTTATTCAAGCAGGAGGCGAAATATTATGTTCTAAGATCCATAAGCTAATTACTTCTATTTGGCATAAGGAAAAATTTCCTGGTCAGTGGAAGGAGTTTATTATTGTACCAGTTCACAAGACGGGTGATAAAACTGACTGTAGTAATTATTGGGGGATATCACTGCCATCAACTTCATACAAAATTGTATCCAATATTCTTCTCTCAAGGTTAAGTCCCTACACAGATGAAATTATTGTTGATCATCAGTATGGGTTCCAATATAAAAGAGCAACTACAGATCAGATCTTTTGCATTCGTCAGATACTCGTGAAAAAATGGGAGTACAATGAGACAGTACATCAGCTATTTGTAGACTTTAAGAAAGCCTATGATTCAGTTCAGAGGGAAATATTGTACAATATTCTGATAAGAGTCTGGGATACCCATGAAACTAGTTAAGCTGATTAAAATGTGTTTAAATGTAAAGTCTGTATAGGTAAACAGTTGTCTGATAAATTTCCTATCCAGAATGGTCTAAGATAAGGAGATGCTTTATCACCACTCCTTTTAAACTTTGCTTTACAATATACCATTCGGGAGGTCCAGAAAAAACAGGCAGGAGTGAAATTAAATGGGACACATCAGCTGTTGCTCTATGCTGATGAGTCAATCTACTGGGTGAGAATATAGATACTATAAAGAAAAACACACAAACTTTAATTGACGCTGGTCAGGAGGTTGGTCTAGAAGTAAACACAGAGAGAACTGAGTATATGTTGCTGTCTTATCATCAAAATGCAGGGTAAAAACATTACATAACAATAGAAAACAGATCTTTTGAAAATGTAGCACAGTTAAGATATTTGGGAATGACAAATCAAAACCTGATTCAGGAGGAAATTAAGAGGAGACTGAATCTGCACAATACTTCCTACCATTTGGCCCAGAACCTTCTGTCTTCTGGTCTGCTGTCTAAAAACATAAAAATTAGAATATAAAAAAACTGTAATTTTGCCTGTGGTTCTGTATGGGTGTGAAATTTTGTTTGCGACGTTAAGGGAGGAATATAGACTGAGGGTGTTGAGGAGAATATTTTGTCCAAAGAGAGATGAAGTGACAGGGGCTTGGAGAAAACTGCATAATGAGGAGCTTCATAACTTGTACTCTTCTCCAAGTATAATTAGAATGATCAAGTCAAGGAGGATGAGATGGGCAGGGCATGTAGTATAAATGGGGAGAAGAGGACTACATAGAGGATATTGGTGGGAAAGTCAGAAAGAAAGAGACTAGTAGGAAGACCAAGGCATAGGCGGGTGGACAATATTAAAATGGATCTTAGAGAGATAGGATGGGATGGCATGGATTGGATTGATCTGGCTCATGATAGGGACCAGTGGAGGGCTTTTGTGAACACGGTAATGAACCTTCAGGTTCCATAAAATGCTGGGAAGTTCTTGAGTAGCTGCAGATTTGGCTTCTCCTCAAGAAGGGCTCAACTCCATGACTATTTTTTTATTGCTAGTGGGGTGGGACTAAGTCCCTTGTACTGCGGCCACTTCTGGCCTATTGTACCAGCCCCAGATGATAGGTGAGGGTGATTGTGGAGCAACTGGTGGAATGAAGATTGGCAGGGAAAACCGAAGTAAATAAGCCCTAAGTAAGCAAGCAAGTAAGTAAGTAAATGGGAATTGTGTTTCTATTGTAATTGTAAGTGTAACTGTAACTGCATTGAAATGGTATTCATTCTGTGTAGTATGTGAGCATTACTGTTGTTTACTTTTGTCTACTGTGTAGTTTTCTATTTTTAACTTACTGGCTTATTGTATTACCACTGCCACTGGGTAAAAACCCATTTGCAGTCAAATAACTATTAACAACATGAGAAAATTTCAGAACAAAATTATTTTAACTTTGAAGGCAGGAATATGCCTTATGCACTGTCATTTTAAACAGGTTTCACCATAAGAAAACCTGAAAATCTAAATAACTAAATCACAATTTCATGAAAAATAATCCTTTTTCAAATGATGACAGCTGCTCAACTACTCAAGAAATTCCCTGCATTTTTGGAACCTGAAAGCAAATTACCAAATACATAAGACACTGCCCACTGTCACCTGTCTGCAGCCAGATGAATCCAGTCCACAAACCTACTACCCTGTTGGGGCCACGCCATAGCTCAAGTGATTAGTCGCTGGCTTCCCACCATGGCAGCTCGGGTTCAATCACAGGTCTGGTCGTGGGATTTGTGGTGGACAAAGTGGCGCTGGGGCGGGTTTTCTCTGAGTACTTCGGTTTCCTTTGCCAATCTTCATTCCACTAAATTCTCCATCATCATAATCACACGAGGCAGGCTACAATAGGCCAATCAGTGGCCGCCGTGCCGAGTTGACCCAGTTGGACTCCACCCCCCACTAAGTGAATTAATTACTACCCTGTTTCTTTGAGAATGATATTAATAGTATCCTTCAATTTATACCTAGTTTTTCCGAGAAGTCTCTTCTGACTCAGCAGGTCAGAAAAGCATACAATGAAGAACTGATAGACTCACCCAGTTGAATCCCATGATGCAACACAGATTTATAGATGCTGCAGTGGAGGTGGTGAACAGCAGCGCATAACTGTTAATGTAAGACTCTCCTTGAACAGCCAGGGCTGCAAGGACTGACATCCTGTACAAAACAACTGCTATGACGGCAGCAACAGCCAGTGAAACCTGGAAAAAAATATATCACCATAACCTCACTTCAAAAGAACCATTATGCACAAGACTTGACTCAACTAACAATGGAATGTATTGCAATAAAAATACAAATCTTCAGGCTGTCATGGCAATAAGTGTTCAATTTGTGGTCTTCTCATATGTACTGCCTAATTATTGGTCAGTTTGACAGAATCCTAGCTTGATTTTGGAAAGAGAAAGGAATAGTGGCCAAGTTTTCTCTTGGTAGAGAAAAGATACACCATTAAGGCAAGTGTGCCACAGAATACAGACAAAGGATGTAGAACTAGTAGAATCTATACTGTACGATTCAGTCAAGTAGCAGCCAAGTACCTGACAACTGCAGCCACTCACAAACGAAACTAGCCAAACCTAACAGGATATAACCAACATAGGTGCCAAGACACAGAGGAACTGGAGACAATACATTGCCTCAGTTGGCAAAAGCTGGATCTGTATATCCACTCACAGCGACTGGGTGAGCAGTGACCATCAAGGATAATGTGAGTTCACACCTGGAACCTTCTGCCAAAAGAAGTAGGGAACCATTCCAGTTACAAAGTTAACAACTGAGATATCAGATATGACTACTTACAGGACAGTCACCTGAAAGGACACTTATTCAAAATGATAGTACACCTAAAACTGTTTCATGACAAAAGTGAAACACCCTCAGGCCCTAAGTAACAATAAGTTTCTAGATGAAGGTTCATCACTTGGGAACAAATTTTATGACGCCAAGCAACTATTAAAGAGGCCCCATTAGGTAAGTACTGCACTTCACTTTAAATGGAAGGCTCCTTGAGGGCTACTGTGAGAAACAGCATGTACAATAAATTGCAGAGAGCCTCAGAACAAGGACAATTTAATGCCCACCTCTTCAGCATAAACTAATCACCAGGGACAAAACCAGTTTTTAAAGCAGGCAGTGCTAACAGAGATTATCATCAGAAAATGAGTTACAACAGTTTCTCAAGGTGGATCATGCATCAAGCTGTACCTAACTTGGTCAAGTGTCATCAGAATGGGCAAAGCAACCCACAACAGCAAGGAGCACAATGCAGCTCTGGGAACTACTAACAGACAAGTTCAGTATTCAGTATTGAGGGGTGGGTTTCCCCATGCACTTAGACCAGTTATTGGTCATTGTGTGTCCCCCTTTTTAATTTCTACTGTCTCCATACCCTACCGGTACTGGTGCTCACTATCAGCCCCTTTCTGCCAGCAAGGTTCCAACCTTCTACTGGCAGTGGTATCTAATAGTTAGTCCCTTTCCGTCAGAGAGGCCCCCCCTCCTCTGGCAGTGGTACCTAATACTTCCCCCATCTACCGGAGGCATTGGAAACTACTTTGGGCATGAACCTTTTTGGCCAAATTTAGCTCAGAGGTCTCCTAGAGACATGAGATTCTTTTACATGCCGTAAATCTACGACACGGGACCCACGGCTTAAAGTCCCTCCCGGAGGACTTGTTCCCTGAATTTTTCCGCCCTTAAAAATTCCACAACCTCCGCCGGGTTTGAACCCACGTACCTTGAGTCATGAGGTGGGAATGTTACCCCTAGACTACAGAGGCTGCTAATAAACAAGTTACTGAAGGTGCGTTCAGACTAAATGGGCTCCATGCCAATATGTGCATGAGGAAACCCATGCTGTATGAAAATACTTAGGAGTGGAAATCCAGAAAGTCTACACAGTCAAATAATTATTCAGCGCAAACTGTAATCCGTCTTACACCTTGACTTGACTAAGGAAGCCTGGGAAAAATTAAAAACTTTATGTCGCAGAAGAAAAACAGACCACGATAGATTAATATAGGAATATTTCAACCAGTCATCTTCAAAGGCCTAAACCACACCATATCAAAAGAGTGGCAAGATTATTGCAGTCATGTGGAAAAAGTAGAACAAGCATTTAGGAAGGATGCAGGTAACGTTCCACAATTAGTTTGGAATGCAGTAATGGTTACTCACAAATGAAATTTAGTGATCCAACTTAGTACTTAGTGTTTCATTACTATTACAATCTTAGAAGCATCTCAAGAAGTGCAGAGTGGTCAGTGAAAGCCAACGGTGATTTCAGTTTCATAAAGTGTTAACAATTTATAATAAATAAATAAAATCTTTTGCTGCCTTATGTGTTTCAGTTTTAAGTGACCATCATCAAAAGCCACACCAACAGGGTTAAAAGAAATACTTCATGTAAGTCTTTATTGCAGTACTAGTTAACCCCGTAACTTAGCAAAGAAAACGCTGTAATCAGTAATAGTGAGGAAAGGTTTCATTAGAACTGACTACTTAAAAATAATTCAATTAGTTATGTTGCATTACATGTAAGATGCAATAACAGCATTTGTAATAGTTTTAAAGCTGTTAACAGTTTATAATTTATTGAATCCTTTGGCTGTAGGCTGTTTTTTCCTTGCAAATATGCTGCTAACAACTACAAAACTACTACAAATGCTGACAACACAATGTAATTAGTTGAATTATTTATCTACTCAGTTTTGACAATAACCTTCCACAACAATATTAATTACATCAATCACTTCAGTAAGTCTCTAGGATAAATAGTACTGTAATAAAGACTAACACAGTTGCTTTACCTCTTGAGGATTGCCACTTAAGGCCAAAACATGCAAGGCAACAACAAGATTTTGTTATTTATCAGAAATTGTTATACTTGATGGAATTTTAGTCCTCATGCATTAATGAAGTGTAACAGTCGGATGCCATCTATAAAGACATGGTCAGTGAACATTTTATGACAGAATGTACTTTGAATATTGTCTGAGGAGAGGGGACACCACAGCTCAACCTTCACTACTCTGTTGGACAGCAAAGTTCTCACAATATGGTAGTGCTTTCCTACTTTGTGACTGAGTGATTCCTGAACTTAAAACCACTCAAGTGCTGATGTTGATAATTAAAGCAATTAAAACAAATAGTCTACAACTACTGCATTTATGATACACTAGCTTAAATTCTAACAGTGGCATTTCCTCCAATACATTAAATCAATGCTTGGTTCTCTTTTTAATTACGTAGTGTCAGTTACTACATTACAGATGAACGTAATGGTGCTACTGCCAGAAGATGATTGTGAAAATGAGGCACATCACATGCAGATAAGAAATAGGACAGACCTTAGACCATGCTCCTTAGCCGCTATCTTCCCCAAGGCCCCAGGTTTTAATCTCATTCCAGAGACTGGTTATCATGACAGGGTTCTTCATGGGTTACTTTCATCTCTCCAGACAAACATCTGACTAGTACCTTAACAACACCCAGTCCAGTTCCAAAGGGTTTTAATGATGGTACATTATACTTGGGATTACTACATTTCTGGACTTGTCCAAAATTGGATTTGCTTCCATCTGCACATAATATGGTGGGGAGACACCTACTCAGGTTCATTTGAGAAAGCTACTGTCAATCACAGGACATGTTCTTGCAGAATATAAGATGATGGCTGACTTCCAGAAACTCAGTAATCCCAAAGGCCAAGACCACTTTGCTTCAGAGAAAGACAGACACACAGACAGACAGACAGAGTACATGTGTGCATCGGGGGGGAAGAAAGAGATAAAGGTCTCCAGGACCTCAGCTCACATAATATAAATTAAGTTTCCACATTTTTCATTTTACAACTCTATTTTAATGATAATTAGAAAAACAAAATAATCATTTTTCTACATAATCACCCTCTTTTCAACACATTTACCAGGGTCATACCAACTTCTTAAAGCCATCATAACAGAAAGTCTTTGGTTGGGCACATAGTCACTGATACACTGCATTATTTATATCCTCATCACATCAAAATTTTCTCCCTCCTAGAGCTTCTCTAAGCAGTCCTAAAATGCGAAAATCAGATGGTGCCAAATCTGGACTGTAAGCTGGATGTTTCATGACTTTCCACTCCATCATGCTGACCACAGTATGGGGACAGGCATCGTCCTGTAATAACAGGGCGCCCTCTGACAGCATTCCTCTTCTTTTAGAGCAGATTGCAGGCTTCAGTCTTATCTGAAGCATGTCACAACGTGTTGCGCTTGCAACAGTTGTTCCATGTTCCAGGTAGTCTCAAAAATAGGCCCTTGAGAATCCCAGAAGATGGTCAACATCAACTTGCCTGCCAGTGGTTGTGTCTCGAGTTTCTCCGTAACAGATGATGGATGCTTCCACTGCATGCTCTTTCACTTGGTTTCTGGTTGATAGTGGTGACCCCGGGGAATCATCACCTTCACAACAACGAGTCAAGTGGCAGGAAAAATTGTCTAAGCACACGCACTTATGCTCATTCATCAGTTCCTTAGGTACCCACCCAGCACATACTTCACGAAACTGAATGTTACTGTGCGCCACAGAATAGGCAGACCCAATGCCCACATCCAGTTCTTATGCAATTTACTCGACTGTCACATTTCTGTTTCGAAGAATGAAATCAGTTCCATAGCTTTCTTCATTCTATGCAGACGTGGCTGTGGTTGGATGAGCTGAGCGCTCTGCAACAGTCACACTCGTACAGCCATTTTTAAACATTTCAACCCACTTATACACAACTCTATGAGACAGAGCACTGTCCCCATACTGAGCACACATGCGCTGATAATCTGTCCATCTGTATAACTTCTGCCCACAAAAAACATATCATGGATCGCTGCTCCTCTTTGTGCAATTCTCAAGTTTCACCGCCACATTCAACGCTTCATAGCAACTCTCATACAAACTGCAAAGTCAACACACTTGTCTTCCCAACTAGTCACATGACACCCTATAATACATCACCAACTCCACTTCCCTACAACTATTTCCATTTTCTTTAGAAATATAAAAGTGGAAACTGGCTGAATGTAGTGGCACCTGCAAAGGTTAACATACTACAAATGTGCAGTTGCTGTTAACTTCACTCCAGTTTGCATGCCCTGTACATTACTGAAATCTTTTACTCTTCATGTTGACTAAACAAAATTTCCTCCTACCTCTAACTATAGGTATATGGGTATGTGGGTATGCACAAATACTGAATAAAAATACAACTGATCATATCTGATATCAACTTTTCACTACTTAATTAATCAGTTTACTTAAAAAGATATGTCTGGAATCACAGAATATTACTTGCCTCTTTCACATTACTAACATTTTCTTTTCTTATAAGATCATGGATGTGAGCATGGCACAGTTTCTTCTATCAAGTTATACACCATACACTTTTACAATCTCATTGGTTTAGGGAAACATCAAAAGCAAAGACCAATAGCACACAATGTAAAATTTTAAAATTATTACAAAATAAAAAATTGCGTATGTCATGACATTGCACCACATAAACATAAAAATGATTAGTACCATAAAATCTATTAAAATTTTGAAATAAACATAAGAAACTGAAATTATATACCTCATTAAAAAGGCCAGAATGATACAAAAACAGTCATGATAACAACCCTCAGCCCTTTCACATGCATATGGTGAACTGTAGCTGCTTTAATGTAATTTAGTTAATTGTATGAATTAGCATGAAAACTGCAAGCACAGGTTGGAAAGCCTGGCATTAATAAAGCACTCATATGACTCACACACCAAAAGAAGAACCACCGAGAAGCTCAGAACTGTGGCCGGAACTTTCATTCTCCAGAAAGGTACATGCGGCTCCTTCATGTTGGTAACATTGTTTACATTCTTAAGACGAGCAAGATACTGGGGTCGCGAATGTTCCTCTTGAATATCAAAGCCTGTCAAGTCCCAGCGATGTGTTATTTCTGCAGAATAGCGCTTCCATAACTCTAAGAACATGGCCGCTGAAGGAAAGAGGAGCCACATTAATTAGTAACTGTGATTTTAAAGACAGGATTAATCAGTAAACTGACTGAATGACTGAAGGTTTTAAGATGACTCACTCTGACTGGGTCACCCCAATTGTGAACTTATTAAACACAGATGGGATGCAAGGTCTTTGTGATAAAGATTAAAATTATGGTCTTCTGCATTATGAAACCATATAGTTTTATACAATGGGACCCCCATTTAAGGTTCTTCAACTTAACATTTTCAAATATATGGCATTCTGTTTCACTGATCCCAAGTATATAACCTCAGTGATCATCTTCCTCTATTTAAGATTTTCAAATTCACTGTTCCCCAAGGAAACCATAAATGGGGAGTTCACAGTAGGTGGTTAGAAATCTTAACAAACAAACTTCAGCTAGGTAAATAACTGGTCTCAGCAGTAACACTACTTCAACATCACACTCAATTGTGAGAGCCACTTACATGACAGGAAGATGGAAATGGTATTATGATGGGGGTGAGATCTTTATGTAACATGTCCTATCCATTACAAACCAGTTTCAAATAATTTTAACTTTACAGCATGTGTAATTAGTTATAGCTTATTAAAGTGCGAAGTGGAAGATCATGCACTGTTACACTTTACAACAAAATTGCTTACTGTATGTCATAGGAAGAAAACTCACCACATTAAACACACTGTAGTATCACTGAATGCACTAGGTACACCTATTTACATACTATGTACAAATAAATCTAATATATACATAAGAAGTACCTATAGAAATCCCTCAGCAACCATGTTTTTGTATTTGTATCCCAATCAGCCAACTTCAGTATTTTTATTACTCATGTACACAAGATGAAATCAGTATCTTAAACAACTTCTTGCTAGTTTCGGTTTCTTGCCTGGTTCACTATTCAACCCTGCAGACTGAGGTCATACATTCCTCCAAAATGCTGGTAAACTTCTACTGACCTACATTCCATTACATCCCCAAAAAGAGTAGTCTTCAAATACCAAGAAAATTTTACCAAGCACAAGCAAGACATTATTGCACATCCAGTTCCATGGATATCATGTCACATATCTGTGTTGTCCCTTAAGTGTTTCTACACAAGTTCTAAATGGCATATTTTCATGCCAGGGGTTGAGAATGGTTGAGATATACCTCCACTCCCTCATACAACTTCATGGCTTAGCGCTTAATCAATTAAACATCAGGACAACTTTATCATTACCTTTACTCTTATGACATTTCAGGTTCATTTTTCATTTCATTTCATTTATTCACCTTCCATAAATCCTGTCGAGAGTACATTCTCATGCGGATGTGGAGATCATCCTTGTTATGATATGGGATCAAATTTATACTCATCCTACTTGAATTTTAGGTTATTTCTACTTATGAATGAGGCCGCGCCACAGCTCAAGCGGTTAGTTGCTGGCTTCCCACCGCGGTGGCCCAGGTTTGATCCTGGGTCTGGTCAAGTGGGATCTGTGGTGGACAAAGTGGTGCTGGGGAAAGTTTTCTCCAAGTATTTTGGTTTCCCCTGCCAATCTTCATTCCACCAATTGCTCCACAATCACCCTCACCTATCATCTGGGGCTGGTACAATAGGCCAGAAGTGGACGCAGTACAAGGGACTTAGTCCCACCCCACTAGCAATAAAAAAAAGCATTCGCTAACAATGACTGGAAAGAGATTTGATACTGCTACTGTTCCCAGTGATGCCTCTGGGTTACGACACTATGCAGTCTCACATGAGGAGACCCAATATTTCAGAGGAAAACACTGCCTCCATTCACTTCAACCTTAAAGACGGGGCAGCACACTCCTCCAAAACGTCGGTACCTATCTACAGGACTAGATGTCACAACCCATATGACCTCAGTCTGTACTTAATATTACTTTATGTAAACTGAACATATAAAATACTGTATATGGGGTATCCAAATACACAGAATGCGTCCAGTGTACAAAACATAACATTCTAGAATAATCACTATATGTTACTTCTCCACTACTTATGTCACACTGATTATGAACACCACAGGAAGGCTGTGTGATGTAGAGCTGCTAACCTGTCTTCCCTATCATTGTTATAAACCAAACAACAATAGCTCTTAACATTAAAAGCTACAGAATAAGCAGATCAGCTGTATCATGCAAGAATGACTTGTCTGATTTATGGCACTAAAGAACTCTTTATCAACAAAAAACAGTTCAGGCAACATTAATAAAAGCATATTATGTTTCTCTTTGCCTGCGTGATCAACCCAGCTCTGGGGCCCCATCTAGCCATTTATTTGGGTGGGTACCAAAGGTTCTTTCACCAAGGTAAAACAGCTGAACCAGAAGCTGTCCACTTATCACCAGCTAGTCCCAAAGTTTAGAATACATCATCATGTACTATGTGTCTTCATGGTAAAGGTAAGGTAAAGCCAGCCCTGTAATGGGCCATGGAGGTCTATATGGTTGTGAGACATCAAGGTTCCCACATTTTCTAGACAATCAGCTCACAGATGGCAGTGAGGATGTCGGCCTCAAGTGCTGACCACCCTTTACACCAAGAAAAATTCCTGCTACTCATTTCTGTTAGCAGCTGAGTCAACCCCAGGGCCATAGAGCAGCTGGAAGAATTTGGTCTACTGAAAAATCCAATGACCTCTCGGGAATCGAACCCACAACCTTCTGGCTTATAGCATAACGCCTCAACCAACTATGCTACAACATGCCCCATGTCTTCATGGTGGGGTGCTTAATTAAGCAATGGGAAAATTTTTACTTCCTTTCATTAGCTATCTCTTTAATATAATGATATTTCAAATTGTATTGGTGAAATGGAAATGCTGAAAGGGGAAAGTTCTCAAGAATTTCTAGTTGGGTCTCAATGAATGAACAGATTTTTGGGCAAAATTTATTATTAATATTATTTGTTTATTCAATTTTCATAGTTTCAGGACAATTTAACAAATAAGAACATAAAAAGATAAACTTGTTCCCATTCTTAAGTACCACACCATGAAGACAAACAGGGAATTGTATGTATGGCTCCATACATTCTTCTCATCAAGCAGGATGACCTAGAAGCAATGCTCTATACTTGCATTTGGGAGGTGCTTGGTTTGAATCTTGGCTCGAGCACTGGCCATCCTGACTGAGGCTCTTTTGGTTTTCCACAGTCCCTTCCAAAACCTTTCCAATTCAATATTAACATATTACCCCACCATTCTACACTATACAATCAATGATAATAACAGCTTTGTCAAATAATCCACAAAAATAAAAAAAAAATCCATCCATTAGATGATGTGAGTACTCAGCTTTAAGCCCACTCACTTTATCTTTGAGCAAAAGTCCCCAGTAATCACTAAGCTGGAGGCTGGGTGAGCCCCAGAGCAATCTGGACACTGTAGAAAAGTGAAAAATCTTGTTCCTCCCAGAAACCGCATCTTGATTCTCAGTCGTCCGTCTCAAAGCCCAGTCACTACCCTGACTGAGCAGCTATCCTGGCTGTAAGGTTACACTTGTTCAGCATATACAGGGGGTGGACAAAATAATGGAAACATTAAGAAATTGAGGAACAGTATGTGTGTTGGCTACACCCAAAGAACTTCAGCTGGAAACACTGAATGTTCCTCCATTTGTTTGCTGAATATTCATTTTGAAGACACTGCTTCCACAAGAACTGTCCAAACTTGAGCTTCATAAATCCAACATCCACGGTAGGGCTGCAACTGCTAAACCTCTGATTACTGAAAGTAATGCTCAGATGCATAAGCAATGGTGTCAAGACCATGAAACCTGGACAGACAACTGGAAACAAGCACGTGATATGAGCAGACAAGTTGACTTTCATGCTGTTCCCTACAACAGGACAAGTTTACATTTGGAGAACACCCAAGGAAGCTTACACTCCAGAATGCCTGGTTCCAAAAGTGAAACATGGAGAGCGTCTGTGATGGTTTAGGCAGCAGTGCCGTGGTACAGTGTTCTGCTGGTCCCATTATTATGCTTCATGGCCGAATTACTGCAAGGGAGTACGTGGAGAGGTTGGGTAATCATGTGCATTCCACAATCTGGATGTTATTTCCAAACAACAATGTAATTTTTCAAGGTGACAATGCCTCCACTCACAAAGCTGGAACTGTTCAGTCATGGCTTGAAGAGTGCAAAGGTGAACTTCAACATCTTCCCTGGCCAGCACAATCACCAGACTTGAACATCATTGAACCACTGTGGTCAGCTTTGGAGACTACAGTAAGGAACCGTTCCCACCTCCAAAATTTCCAAAGCAACTTGAAGACATACTTCAAGAAGAATGGTATAAAATTTCTTTACTGACTGTTGAAAACTTGTACAAGTCCATTCCAAGAAGAGCTGCTGCTGTACTGAAGGCAAGAGGTGGTCCAGCACCATATTAATAAAGAAGTGTGTACAGTATCTGTAGTGTTTCCATTATTTTGTCGAACCCCTGCAGGTGTCCTTTGGCCTTTCAAGTGACAGAGCCCTGTTACAAACTTTGATCGCTACCGACTGGATCGCAAAGGTTGCCCCAGTTATTTTTATCAAGGTTTCTGACATATGAAGTNTAGCAGTCGCAGAGTGTTACCAAGAAAACACTATTTTAATTTTCGTGTCTTAATCTCTCTTCTCTTGCTTTAATGTTTTAATTTCTTATCTACACTTCAGTAATTTTAAGTACAATTTTTATCTAAAGGTTTCAGCGTCTCTAATAAACATAATAAAAGCAAATGTTGACGCAGTAGTGTCTTCTCTGTTTTGGATACCGACTGACTGTTGTTGTGCAGACGGTATATTCTATACTTTATATATCTTATCCTGTACATTTGCTAGAAGGATCATGAATTGTAGGATAAGAACTGGTCTTTTACAGCAATGAACCACATTGTGGTCTTCTGGAGTATGACACCATGCAGTCCCATTAGCAGCATTTCAGGTGAACTTACGAACTTCACCTTCAGATAGATGGAAGCAGTGAATTCTTCTGAAACTTTGGGAACTGTATACTTATAATAGTTACAGTGATTTGGATGTAACATTGTGTACTCTGTTGGAAGTCAACCAATTTTTCAATGGAACATGTCACCTCCATCTTCAGGGTCAAAGAATAGGCCAAACAAGAAACAAGCATCAAGCAGGTATCAAGCTCTGCTTATTCTGACCATAAAGATGGGGACATGTTTCTCCAAAATATCAGTTGACTCTCAAAGGACTACATGGTGTTACGTTCCTGAGAGAGAACACTTCACAACCGCTGCTGTGAGATCCTCCAACCCTAAACTGCAGATGGGAAGGCAGAAGATTCTGAAGTAAATAGTAGCAAGCATCCCCAAATTTCAATCTGCTCCTAGTTTATTCATGAATACAATTTCATTTGTCACTGCTGTCCTCAGATATTTGAACTTTATTGTATTTGCCAAGAATTCATTATCTGTCTCTGTGTTAGATTCTGTCATGCACTCTGGCAATGAGATGTGAACACATACTTAGTTTTCCCTTTTTCCCTGCATATACTTCTCATTAGTGACTAATAGAGCATCTGTGTTTTCCCTCGTGATATTAATGGTTTCATCCAGTAAATTAACATCAACAGCACTGACCAAAAATTGTATGTTCCATTCCAATTCCTGCTGGTTTTCATAGACCTCCCTAACGGTGTTTTGTAAAGCAAAGCAGAAAAGCAGTGGCAACAAAACATCTCATGATGAAGTTAAAAGTCAGAAAAATATTTCATATTCCACACGGTGGTGAAGAGATTAGTTAATATAAAATCAGCATTACAACAAAGACTACAATCTGGCCAAATGACAGTTCAGTTTTCCTTTTTTGCTGTAAACGAGTCTATTGCTGGTTCAAATTGAAGTCCTGGATGCAAAAACATTTTCGTGAGAGACGTGTAGCACTGACTTGCCTCAGTCCCTGCCAAGACACTATCTCCAATTAGACCATGGCTACTTCATTCCACATACACTTGAATTTAATTATTCACAAGCCTTCCTATCGCTCTATCCTAGTCTTCTGGGCCATAATGTCCTGTAGTTCAGAAATGATCCACTGTTTTGCAAGAACATATGCCTCCATCTGCTGCACCTTCTCTGCACTACAGTGTTACAAGTGAGAGCACAGGATCCACATGTTCCCATTATGAGAATCTCAAATCAAACACAACTATATAATGTGAGTCTCTAAAGAGTTGTTAAATACGAAGGGGGACCCAAAAATAACCGGAAACGACCTGTTGCGCGCACATGCTTTGTAGTTACGAGTTGTGCTGCTAGGTGGTGTTAGCTGGGGGTCTCCCACGACTGTTAGTGAGCTGGCGTCAGTCTGAGTTAAGTGGTTTGTCTGTGGTGCTCTGTTGTGTGCGTTCCTGTTTCAACCCTTTGGCGATTAGTGAGATGGCCGACCAGAAGGAACAAAGAGTGTGCGTGAAATTTTGCTTTCTGTTAGGGAAAACTGCACTTCACTCTTCAAGTCGCGGCAAACATTCACGCGGTTTTCTCTTTGGTCATCTCCGAGCAAGCGAGGAACAAATTTTGCAGACACCCGTCTCATGTGCAAACCTTCGGTTAAAATTCGCTGGACCGTGCTCCATGAGATGTTCGTTTCCTCAGAAAGTTGGTCAATGGTCTTTCGACGATCTTCATCAATTGCACGTTTGATTTTGGCAATGTTTTCATCATTTCTTCCTGTCGAAGGACGCCCGGGGCATGGCATGTCTTCTGTTGACATGTTGCCAGATTTGAAACGGGAAAACCACTCGTAGACCTGTGATTTCCCCAAAGCATCATCATTAAAGGCTTGCCGAAGCATCCCAACAGTCTCGGCTGCAGTTTTCCCTAACAGAAAGCAAAATTTCACGCACACACTTTGTTCCTTCTGGTCGGCCATCTCACTAATCGCCGAAGGGTTGAAACAGGAACGCACACAACAGAGCACCACAGACAAACCACTTAACTCAGACTGACGCCAGCTCACTAACAGTCGCGGGAGACCCCCAGCTAACACCACCTAGCAGCACAACTCGTAACTACAAAGCATGCGCGCGCAACAGGTCGTTTCCGGTTATTTTTGGGTCCCTCCTCGTACACCAAGAAAAAAATTAATAAGACTCACAGTCAGGCTCAATGGTGGACTTTGATGTCACTATGAAAGGGTAGGTTACCACAAACAGAAACACACAGAATATGATACAATATGATATAGCTGCAATGGTTCTCAATTTAAAATAGAAAACACTCAAAATCAGTGTGAATTTCAAATGTCAAATGCAGGCAACACTGTACTAGACAAAACACTTACCAGCTGCTGCAGAGTAATAATATTTAGAGGGTTATCACTGTAGCAGTTAGGTCATGGTGCAGCTGAAACATCATGGTTTCTGTCTGCCAGATGAATGGTTGCCTGAGGTATCACTCTGACAGTTCATGTCAAGGTTTGGCTGGGGTACTACAGTATGAGTTCACTAGGTTGTGGTTTGGCTGCAGTATCATTGAATGAATTCACTGGATCACAGTTTAGGTGGGGTATCAGGATGTGAGTTTGTCAGTTTGAGGTCTGGTCATGTGGGTTCATCAGGTCATCATTTTGCTGGAACACCACTGTGTGAGTTTGTCAAGGTTTGCAATGCAACAAACCTAAACCAAGCACTGGGTAGTGGGCCACACCATAGCTCAAGCGGTTAGCCGCTGGCTTCCCACCGCAGTGATCCGGTTTCAATCCCGGGTCTGGTCAAGTGGGATTTGTCGTGGACAGAGTGGCCCTGGGGCAGGTCTTCTCCAAGTACTTCAGTTTCCCCTGCCAGTCTTCATTCAACCAGATTCTCCATCATCATAATCACCCAGGGCAGGCTACAATAGGCCAATCAGTGGCCGCCGTGCCAAGTGGACCCAGCTGGACTCCACCCCCCAATTAGCGAATTTAAAAAGAAAGTACTGGATAACTACATTATTACATGTGAACTCAGTATGCACACAACAGGACATACAAAGCACTGCTCACCTCAGAAGCAAACCTGGTAGGGAAAACTGTGGACACATTTTGGGTTCAACTGATCAGCAGTGAAACTAAGTTTTTAACTATTCTAAGTGCAGAAATAGACACAAACCTGAAGGCAAGTGCACACTTATTTCACACAAAGCACATCATGTAAACAAGACAGCATGCTAAGCACAGCTTACCCCAGAAAGACATAAATATAGCAAAGAACACTGTGCTAGGATTGTCGAACAGGTATGTGACTTTCGCATGAAGACACGTCTCCTCCAAGTTCCAGTAGTCACAGAAGTGATCACAAGTCGGGCACATTATGATGTTCAGCCGTTTATTGCAGATATCTTCACTATGCAAGAGAGAATTCATATTCTACAATTAATATCCTAGACACTAAGGTTATCATGGATGAAAAGGGATATTACAATACTGACCTGAGGGCCTTAGCCAATATGCCTGTGTGTTACTCTTGTTCTAGAATTTGTTTCTGCTACCTACCACCTTTCAACATGACTAAGCTCTGACAAGCACAAATGAAGACAGACACTGCACAGGAAGCAAGATATCCCTAATTCTCTCCCACTGTGTATCAGCATAGCCTACAAAATTAGCCCCCCAGTAGAGGATCTTTGAGGACAGATATTCAACTCTTCAAGAAATTCCTGTGTGACTTCAGGTTCACCATCATCACTGCATGTCACACCAACACACCACTTGTTCTATTCCCACAGAGAAGAAATCAGGTTTCAGTTGGCATCCTGTCATCACAGCAACAATGTTTTCCTTGAAAATCCTTCTTCAGTAGTTCAAACAGCTTAAGTCACTAGGCAAAGGCCATATAGGAGTGAGCACTGCTGTGGGGAAGATCATTTTCCCTTCATGCAAGCCACAATATTTCATTCAGCTGCTGCAGTGGAGTGAATTGTGGAACGCATTCATATTTGCCCCATGGAGCGGAATGCCACATGTGTCCCAAAATGCCACCCACAACAACTTCCCTAGACTGCCGGGAATTCTTAGCCCATCAACCATATGGCTCAGTCCTTGTGCCTAGTGACTTCACCTCTTTCAATCACTGAAGAATTATGTCAAGGAAAACAATTCAGACATGATGATATGAAAACTGATGTGCACTGTTGCTTGCAAGCACTGAGCCCTTACCTGTTCTCCACAGGAACTGAATATGTGGCATATCGCTGGGACAAGTGCCTCAGCTACTATGACATTTATGCGCAAAATGGAGGTATGTCTGTTATTCCTTCTTGTTTTGGACATCTACATTGACGTACTAATTAAAATACATCTAGAGTATTTTTGGGATGTATTGCTACATAGTCTGGCAGAACTTTACTGCAGCAGTCTTCTACCAGAAGACAGCACTTTTACTAAATATGATTGTCTCACTCAGGAAGCCTGCTCAGGTGATAATGCTTCTGACTTGTGTTCAGGTGGTGCTCAGTCTAGATCTCAGTCTGTATGCTGACTATCCCAACTGAGGATTTTCATGGTTTTCCTCAATTCCCTCAGGTAAGCACCAGGATAGTACTCTGAAACAGGCCATGATCATTTCCTTCTGTGTCCTTTCAAATTCACCATTCATGAATCATCCTACTATTCAATATTATGCTACAAGCCGGAAGGTCACGGGTTCAAGTCCCGATGAGGTCATTGGATTTTTTTTCAATTGACTTAATCCTTCCAGCCACACTATGGCCCTGGGGTTCACTCAGCCTCTAACAGAAATGAGTACCAGGAATTAATTAAATAATTTTCCTGGGGAGTAAAGCACGGCCGGTGCATAAGGCTGACAACCTTACTGCCATCTTTGAGCTGATTGTCTAGATAATGTGGGACCCTCAACGTCTCACAACCCTATGGGCCTTCAGAGCTTGGTACAGGGATAGCTTTACTTTTTTACTTTCACCATTCAATATTACATAATCTGAGTTACTGAAAACATCATTACACAAAGACAAACAACACTGCCTCAGAAGACACGACACATGACACAGTATACACAGATGTCCACCACTGTACCCTTGCCTGAGCCACTTCACATTTTCACAGCCTACTTTCTTAAGATCCATCTACATCCTGTACTCGGAGAGTGGCATCCGTTATGTGAATGCTGCCAACATAATTCATACTGTATGTAGGAAAATTAAGCGTCACAAGAGTCGTAAGATAAATGTTAACATTCTTGTAACCGTGGCTGCCGTCGCACAATGTGAATCCTGTTGCGTACTCACACTAGCATTTATAAGGTTATGAAAATTCAAATTGTGGCCTTCTGGTTTATGATACAATGTAATCTGGTAGGTAGGTATTAACATTTTCAAAGAACATCCTGCCTCCATCTTCAGGATTATGAGTTTTGAGGTTTTCATGGTGGTGAAAATTCATGTTATAGTCTTCTAGGTTGACACTGTGCAATCTGACAGGTAGGTATAAATACATGAAGACACATTCTGCACCCAACATGTATTTAACCTGGAGATGGAAGCAGCGTGTTCCTCCAAAATGGTACTCTCATATCAGACTTCAAAGTGTCAAAACTAAGATGATCACAATATGAACAACACTAGCAATGTCTACTCATTACTGTATCTCTGATACAAAATTTTATTTCATCATATATCTGCCAATTCTGACTTAGTTTTTTAACACAAATCCAGAAATACAGTAACTCCTTCCCTTATACAAAATACTTCCTAAACAGTCATCAGGTAAACAACTCTTCCTAAAGTACTGCTGCTATAGAATGCAACAATCATTCAGCATCAATGTGACCCACTGTCATCGCTCCATAATTACCTGGGAAAATCACCATACAGTGTGAGGCAACTGTAGATGAAACATATCACTCCAACAACTGATGCAGGAATAAGCATATGTGTGTAGAAACCAAGCCAAGCGAAGTATAGGCCTATCTTCACACCAAAGTATTCCTTGACGTAATCAAGTGGCTGATAGCGGAGGCACTTGTTCACTGCTGCCCACTCAGTGTACAGTGTGTTCCGCATACTGCCTGGCACCCTCAGCTCCCCCTGTTAACATAAAGCAATTAAGTCAGAGGTAAGTCCATAGAAGTGAAACAAATTAAATTATGATGCATATATTAAAGTATTGTCGCGTATCGGGCTTATATCGCGACAAATAACTTCTCGTTGTATTTGATGTAGCGAGTTTTATTTCACATTCGCTCATACAATCACCCAAATTACAATCTGACGATTACTGCTACCTGCAGTATCACAATTAGTACACTCCAAATGCCACAATACAACTGACTGGTTGCTGGCTAACTCGACGATAGGTCCAGGACTCGCTGACTGACTCAGTACAACTCTGCGGTAGCCACACTAGAACTGGCTGTGAATAGCCTTCGCTTCTCCCTATGTAGCCTCGATCGGACAATACGGGAAAACGGCCACGTAATAGGCACCCTTTTGCCTGGCGCTCTGTTGCTATGTAACGCTAGCGGAGGTCACCGCTGTTACTATCGTAACGTCGCCGCTGTTGATTCGCGTTGCCTAGCGACCGCGATATCCCTCGGTGACGTCACCGCGGAGGGGAGTGGCGGGGCGGGAACTCGCCTATTACCGTAAGAACGTGAGCGTTACGCCACCGCCACGCACCGCTGGGGAGGTAGGGGTCAACATGTCACAGTATAATCTTTATTGTGGACCACAGTGCTAATCCTTGGCACGGACTGAGTGAACAGACAACCTGTGAAAGCCAGCATAACTAATCCAAAATGGAAGAATTATATAATAGAGTATATGTATTTTCAGGGACAATGATAAATACAACATATGACAACAAATAGAAACCTACCCCCCCAAAAAATTAAAATTAAATAAGAAGTTCCAGAAAGACCTAATCACTTACTTTGCGTCCAATGTCATTTGAGTACCTAATATGGAAAGTAGAAAGAAAACTTTAGTATGTCTGCATAATGAAGTCAATGAAACAACACAATTTGCAAGGTTTCAGTGTTGGTATTACTGATGGGAGTGATTTATGAAGTAAGCTGTTGAGATGGCCTCAAATTTCACAAAGACTTGTTCAAACATTCAAGTGAAATTCAGGTTATTACCTCAACAATTTCAGAGCCTGCAATGCTGGCATTACTGAGGGGTGGGATTTAGAAGGCATGCCACTGATACAACTGCAAGTGGCATGATATACATACAATGTTTCATAATCACCAGTTCAGGCATTCAAGTAATATTAAGGGTATTACCCTTTACAATTTGAGAGGCTGTACTGTTGGTATTACTGATGAGAGGAATTTATTAAGTATGATGTGGTTGAGGGACTATGCTACAAGCTGGAAGGTCACGGTTCAAGTCCCGATGAGGTCACTGGATTTTTTCAATTGACCTAATCCTTCCGGCCGCACTATGGCCCTGGGGTTCACTCAGCCTCTAACAGAAATGAGTACCTGGAATTATTTAAATAATTTTCCTGGGGAGTAAAGCACGGCCAGCGCGTAAGGCTGACAACCTTAATGCCATCTTTGAGCCGATTGTCTAGATAATGTGGGACCCTCATCTCACAACCCTATGGACCTTCACGGCCTGTTACAGGGATAGCTTTACTTGCTTACGCTGCTGAAATGTGCTCATTTGCTGTGACATACATACCAACTTTCACAAAGATGGGTTCATGGATTCAAAAATTGTTTGGGGGGGGAGGAGAATACACATACAGCAAAGTGATCTTATAAATTTACTTATAATTTCAAAATAAGAAAAGTAGGTTAACAAAAAAGGAACCAAAATGCCTATGAAACTCTACCATACTGATGAACAACACCTAACAAGTGGGAAGCTCAACACAAACTTGTCCCAAGAGACACTGCAGAAATCAGCTTCCCACTTGGAAGAAGGACAGATACATCCAAGACTGTTCTCAAGTAACACACAAAACACCAATGTGAATAAGTTCTTCCACGTCCAGGGATGCCCAGGCAATGGGTCTTGAAATCCAGACCCAGGGTATGTGAAAAGGAAAATGTAGAGGGAAGAGATGTGTAGGGGTGAGGCATGCAGAAACACATACATTTATACCATCTACATACATCCACACCACATCAGAACGAACCGGAACCACCAAACTAATATCCATCATTGTTACTAAGAAACTCCCGCAAAGAATAAAAACTTTTTAATTTATTTTTAAAAACTATCAAATTTTCTATTCTTTTTAAATAGGGGGAAAGCTGTTATGTATTTTAATTCCCATGTTAATTCACCCTTCTGTGTTCTGATAATCCAATCCAGCATACACACACAACCATCCCTTGTCAACATACCAAACTTCCCAGTTCTAACCTGTATTGGAACACAGCAAAAAGAGGGAAAGAACTGTCAAGAATCAAAAATGAATTATTATGAGACAAAAGAACCAACAGAGGGTTGTCATCTATCAACTGACATAAAATGGAAATGACATATGGAGAAGAAAAACGATGAAAACATTGCTCCAAGAATGGCTACTTACATCATGCAAAGGATAGGCTGCAGTGTATACCCACTGGTTGATTAGACGTTCAATGCCAAATGCAAAGTCATCACCTTGGGTTTCAGTGAACCTTTCTCGATCCAAAATGAACTGCACAATGCGGGAACGGATGGCCGGTGTGAAGAATCCTTTGGAATGTATGTCAAAACTGTGAGCAAAACAAGATAATCAACAAGAGTGAATGTACAACTCCTACAGCACAACAAAGAAACATGAAAAGGTATACACCATAGTGTGGTACAACACCATTTTATTAAGCTCACTTGCTGCCTCTTTACAAAATCTGATTAGTGGTTTATGATACAGGGCACATGAAAAAAACAATTCATGGCCTTAAGTAAAATTGACTTTAAAAAAGTAATACTCAGCACTAAATATGAAGAAAATACAGTCCATCAGTGCATAGATGGAAAAACATGTGCATTCTCAGAAAAACTTCATGTTACGGCCTCCTGGAATGTGATCTTGTGTAGTTTATTGTGTGTCTACCAATGTTTTGGAGGAAATGGCTGCTTCTATCAGAGTCCAACCTAAAGATGGAGATGCCAGTTTTCTCTGAAAAGTTTGTACCTATCTCCTATATTGTCAGCAGTCAAGATTTTACATCAAGTGGTAGGATGAATACTCAATAATGAACGGGAAAGGATGGGAAAGAGAGCTTCAGAGATTGCCTGCATGGAGGGACTGGGGGACACCACAAAAATCCCAGGTCATGATATGGACAGCCTCCCAAACAGCCAGAACCTGGGCACACATGTAGCCAGGATACATACAGATATTCCTTGTCTCTGCTGTACACAGCAGTGAAGCGGTAACTCCTGGGTGGAAAAACTTTGGTGTCAACATAGAAGTGCCCCATAATGCGGTCAGCATAGCTGCTCAAGCTGTCCAGCAGAGAGTTGGTCTTCTCGTGGACCTCCTGCAGTGCTGGGATCTACAAATACACAATGACAGTTCTCAGCACGATCAACTAGACATAAATATTAAGAATAACAATGACAAAACATACAGGGTCTACCAAAAAGTATGCTAGGATTTCAGGTACCTGCAGTTTAAAAAAGAAAGCAGATATGACAGTGTATTTTGAAGTATTTTATTCATCAACTGAAAGAAGTTGTTTTTTTTTTTTACACAAGTGACAAGTTGTTAGGTGCAGAACACTTCACAGGGAGCGCCATTTGTAGCTCTGTGTACATCCCACCTACAGTCCACCTCTTGTTAGACATACTAACATATCTTTTGTAATACAATTGTTGCAGTGATCCATGCTTTGAGTTCAACTAGTGTATTCACTCTTTGGCTGTACACTTCTCTCTCACACAGTCCCCACCCCCAAAAGTCTCCAAAGGTGTGAAATCTGGAGAAGGCCATGCAACTGGTCCTCCTCATCTATCAACCTGGGAAGTTCACATTCAAAAGAGTCATTAAAATGTGAGCAAAATGAACAGGTACGCTGTCCAGTAGAAGAATAAGACTGTTGTCATTGTTGCTGCTCAGCTGTGCAAGAGCATATTTCCCCAACATGAATTGCTTGTCATGATGTACTCATCAAAGAAGAATGAGACAATGACTCTTTCATGTGTCAGTGCACACCTCATGTTTACTTTAGATTATCCTGTTCACATTCTAAAGTTCAGTGGGAAGCTCACTGCTCCATCACTTATGAATCACTTATGCTGACTGACATGGCCAGAGACGAGAAATTTTGCTTCAACAGTGAAGACAATACAACTACAGTAATTACTGCACTCCAAAATTTGTGTGAGCATGTGTGTTGCCATTTGCAATCTGTTTATTACATTCTGTAAGTTTCTGAGCTACCCATAATTTGTATGGATTTAACCCTTTGTGGTTCCATGTCAGACTGAATCCTCCACTTCATCCCGTGTTCCGGTCCTATGTGAGGCTCAGTCCGCCACGTTTTATGAATCTTACAGATGGTCTGGAGGGTCTGGAGTCAGTCTGAGGGAGGCAAAGAGTGTCAGTGTGTCATTCAAGCCTTCTTTTGCAGTGGTGTTAAGCAATTGTTTGTTGTCATACTTTTGTCAATTTTATAACAGATTTTTCCAAGGGTTTGCATATATTTGTCTTCCAGTGGGCATGCACTGGACAGCAAACAGATCCATGAACAGCTGCATGATGACTCAGACTCTTTCAGTGAGCTTAGAATCAGATATCGTTCTATTTTTTGTACTGACCCAGGTGCTGAAATATGTGGGTCTGATTCGTGTGACAGTTGTAGTAATTCTGATGATGCTACAAATGCAGGTGGTAAGAATTATGGTAATTATGATGATGGTGGTGACTGTGTCACAGGATGCTTAAATGAGTGTACCAGCATTCATACAAGCTGCTATGCTACAGAATTCTCATTTACAAAATATGTATGAGGGTTAAATGAAAAGCACTGGCAACATTACAACAATTAACAGAAATTGATCTGCTCGTGGAATCTGTTGCCTCCAGGGGATTTGGGGCAAGGATGATCATTTGGTAGGTGCCTGTACTGAAGGCACTGTAATGTTCCTTCTAACCGAAATAAAATGCATTCTGGTATACTACACATGTTGCCACTACTTTTCACTCAATCCTTGTGATACCTTCTGTGACAGGTACATTGTAGCATGCAACAGAGGATTCATTTTGTTGTCCTTCTCAATGTGACACAGCTCCTGCAGGAAGAAAAATACACAAAACAATTATGGATGCCAGAACAAATGCAAATGAATATACAAGCCTAGTACAACTTCCATAAAACATAAACAACAACTGATGATGGCAGAATAAGTTGCAAATATAACATGCAAATAACAAAAACGAAACTGCAAGCATTATTTTTTTTGACATTATTCATCATCTTGTCTATTTATTTTAAAAAAACGTCCTGTTTCTTTTTCAAAACACGTTTCAGAGACTGAATTCTGTCCTCGTCCTCAGGTAAAACCTACTCAGGTGGGTCCAATAGATAGAGCTAGCTCCTAACTCCGGACCATCTAACCTAATAAGGTGGTAGGGGCTAGCTCTATCTATTGGACCCAACTGAGTAGGTTTTACCTAAGGATGGGGACAGAACCCAGTCTCCAAAACGTTGTATTTTGAAAAAGAAACAAGACAGTATTCTTTTTAAATAAATAGACAGGACGATGGATAATGCCCAAAAACATAATACTTGTAGCAATATACCATCATCAATAACTTTTAGATCTTATTAAAATACAACTGATTTTGAAGAAAAAAAAAGAAAAGAAACCTGTAACAGTTCCCACAAAAATATTACAGCTAGCAATGAGTAGAGAGAGAGGGAGGTTATTGTATTAAAACAAATGTATACCCATACACAAGAACAGCTGAAAATTACAGGCAAATTTAGAGGAGGCACTACAATCTGCAAAAGTCTCGATCAACAGTATTTAATATTTAATTACCACACTCTCTGAATGTGTGGTAGGGAAGTGCAATTAGAAAGAGACTACTTCTCTCTTACTGATGTAAAAAAAGTAAAGTAAAGCTATCCCTGTACCAGGCTGTGAAGGCCCATAGGGTTGTGAGACGTTGAGGGTCCCACATTATCTAGACAATCGGCTCAAAAATGGCGGTAAGGTTGTCAGCCTTACGCGCCAGCCGTGCTTTACTCCCCAGGAAAATTATTTAATTAACAAAACAATAACACTTGTATAAACTCCATTTTTACACAACCTGAACTGCACATGCATTAAAACAATTTGAAGTGGTGAAGTTGTTACCAGGGTCTCATTAGTGAGAACAGTGCACCACATGAAGCTGAGGAGAAAGAAGTGACTGAAATCCTTGCATCACACAGATATGCTTCGTCCATATGTATGTGTTGCCCGTCTTCTAGTGCACACAATCTCACATGTCACTTCACTACATGTTTCGGCATCACTGTGCCATCCTCAGGTGTGTCACCTACTGTGTTTCTGCAAGACTCATCGAGGAGCTTTTGGGAATACCAAAAAGTACTGTGCATCAAATTTTGATCAAGGATTTGGGCAAAACGGAAGGTCTGTGCGAGGTTTGTACTGAACACGCTGTCAGGCAATGAAAAACATGCCACAGTGAAACACTGCAAAGACATGTTACAGTCGGCCCAAAGTGATACAAAATTTACAAAATCGATTGTTACTGGTGACAAGACATGGTGTTTTCAATATAAGCCTCTCACAAAGCGGCAGAGTGTAGCGCGACTGAGCCCAAAGAAGCCGAAACCAAAGAAAGTGCGCATGCAAAAGAGTCGAGTAAAGACTCTGCTAACCGTTTTCTTAGATTCCAAATAAATCATTCACAAGTAATTTCTGCCGGAAGGTCAAACAATGAATTCTGAGAATTTTTCGAATTCGACCTGAATATCAAGAGCAAGGTTCCTGGTTGCTTCTCCACGACAATGCCGCACCCCACAAATCAAAGATCATGTGCAATTTTTTGGCCAGAAAAGTGATCAAAGTCCTTGATAATCCCCCGTATTCACCAGATTTTGCTCCAGCAGATTTCTGGTTGTTCCCAAAAGTTAGGTGGCGATGAAAGGAGACCGTCATGACACCATCCAGATCATCCAAAGGGAATCTACTGCAGTTTAAATGCGATTCCACAGAAGGAGTACAGTGACTGTTTTCGAAAACTTTTTAATCGATTCCAGCTATGTATTGATTCAGAAGGAGACTATTTTGAATAAAAAGAGTGAAATTTTGAAAACAGTTCACGTCTTGTATTTTTAATGAACACAGTCCTAACAGAACCTGGACACACTGTGTACGTACATGCATACAGACACACAGACACAATGGTGATCTCACAAGCCTACTTTTATTTTTTCAAAATAAGGAAAGTAGGCTATAAATGAATACACAATATATTTGCAAAATAATGCAATTTCTGAGAAACAAGTTAGTTCCCTCTTTCACAGTGTTGCATACTGTTTGTATAAAAATTATAAATATCTGTATACTGACAAAAAAAAATATTTATAGGCAATGCAGTCAGTTTCATGACACATTTTGGTCACACTGCCAACATCAGGTGGACGTCACATTTGCTCCTCCTACAAGACTGTTTCCACATCCTCAATTGTATGGATCTATGGCACGAAATAAAGAACTAAGAAATAACTAAGAACCAAATTATATTAAAACTAACGGGAACAATGAGGAGCGTGTAAGTGGGTAGAAATTAGTTTAATCTAAAAATAATTCTTTTTTAAATACCTTTCCATACATCAGCAATATGATCTGACTTGAAACACAGATTAACAACACTATGGTCACTATATTAACCACTTTCTTTAATAATCAGAAACTCCACATCTGACCACAGTGTATCTGTATGTTTTGTATGGTAAGGTACAGCTATCACTGTAACAGGCCGTGGAGGCCCATAGGGTTGTGGGACATTGAGGCTCCCACACTTTCTCTAGACAATTGGCTCACAAATGGCGGTGAGGTTGTCAGCCTTACCCACCAGCCATCCTGTACCTTCTATGAAGATTTCTGGTACTCATTTCTCTTAGAGGCTGAACTGACCACAGAGCCACAGTGCAGCTGGAAGGATTAGGTCAATTGGAAAACACCTGCAGCCAAAAAGGGAACACGCATCACGAGACACGATACACACAGCATATAAGAGGAACGACTCCCATAGTGGAGGAACCATGCGCGGGTTTTGAATTGGGACAGATAAGATGAATATCTTAACAAGATTTTAGTATACAAAAAATTTAATATACTTGACGAATATTTTAAAATACTTTTTAAATAATTTTACATTGACATAATGGCATGCAATGCAATAGATTAGTGTAACTGGAGCACCTGATGATGGCACTATGGTGCCGAAACATGTTGTGAAGTGACAGGTAAAAGTGGACGCACTGCAAGACAGACACTGTATACACATCATGGACAATTGGAAAATCTAGTGACCTCACATGGAATTGAAGCCACGACCTTCCAACAATCACAAAAAAAAAAGGCAAATGTTTACCTGGACAACATTAACAAATTTGTCTTTCTAAAGGATATACAGTGTTCTCTGTGATATAAGAATTAAATTTTTGAACATTATTTAGATCAACTTCCAGTTTAAAGGGTTAAAATAACAACTGTTACTAAATTAGACAGTGCTCATGGTTTTAATAGTGTTTATATCAATTCATATGCAATTTCCTCCTGATGATGCCCACCTAACAAACATGTTGATGAAACTATCTATAACTTACAGAATTAAAAATTCGTATGGCAGTACACAGCAATCATTTATAAACTGGTTACCTCTCTCATTGGCATACGAAGCTTAAGGATTTCACTGTAACGTCGTAGAACCTCCAGTGTAGCATGAACTTTTATGAAATTCAATCCACTTGTTTCTCGCTTCTCATACTCCAATTCAAGACCTATTACAAAGAGGTTAAAAAATCACACTTTCAATATAAAACAACCTAAGAAATTCTGAAGGTCAAAAACCATGCTACACCAGACAGTGTACTCTTCTTTCACTTTGAACACACTCCTCTGCTTCTGCATCCTGTATACACTACGCATCATTAATCACATATGAAGACAGTATTTCTGAAACTGTTTTGCCCAACCCTGGAGTCCCATGAGAGAATACTATCTAATGAGGACTACCCCATTTTACAACATTTCTATTATCACAATATTTAGCATTATACAAGCTTCATTACTCTTTTAAGTCACCCTATATCACTTTAGGGGAACAAAATTAGCAATCACCATGTAGGAACTGTTGTGTGCATTCCCAATTGAACAATTTATGTTGGTCAGCATGCACTTTCTGGAAGTATGTGGTGGTACTTGGTGATAATTTAAGTAACAGCTGAATGACACTGATTCCAATTTATTTTGCCACATTACAACAGTTTTCACAAAGTTACATACCTGGAGCAGAGGTACAACAAAATCTAAACACCAATGGATGTGCAATGTTTCTGTTTTTGTCAAATCCCTGTAATTTATCACTGACTTAAAACAGGAAGTTTAAAGAAATAGGAACATGATAACAAGGAAACAGATAACAGCAGGTATCAAGGACAAATTACAAGAGAAACATGATATGATGGCTATTTCAGAATAGGATTTGAGTGTGTTGGTTATTCCAGTGTGTATTACATCACCATGGTTCTCATGGAATTACACCTGAATTTACATACATAACAAATTGAATGTGAAAACAGACAGATCTTGTATTTTTAAATGTAAATATGATGAAATGAAGCATTCTCAAACTATCAGTCATTAAAGGTGTAAATGTGTGTGAAACAATACAAAGCAAGCCAATACACTGCTCAGTGCCGTGAAGACCATATGATACCCACCGCAGAAGACATAATTGCATGTATCATTGGAAATTATCGATTCAAGGCTATTGGAAGTTCCACTCCCAACTTCTACCTTTTGAGAGAAATAGAGGACATGGGTTTTAATGTCAAATGCGAGTTAATTAAACAGATTAAAAGCAATCAACACATTAATATGCACCTCCACTGACAATGTTGATCTTTCTGTTCTGCTCTCACTTCATGTGCGTGGGTGCGCATGTATGTGTGTGTGTCAAGCCGAAGAACAAAAAAAATGTTTATGTTCTAGTCTTTGTCTGCGCATACTATAACAAAAAATATTTTCATTGTAGCTGACCTGTCAGAAACAAAATATTTTATTTGCGTAGATGGTGCACAATTCCTACTTGGAGGAATCTATGGTTTTATTGCATATTGTCACATGTATTAGTGACTATAGATGGGGTTTGGATTGGTGAATAGATTTATTGACTACTTACACGTTATAACTACAAATAATTATTACACTATTGCTGATTCCCACGCTACAAATCACTCACACTAAGTTTTCTCAATCTATTTCCACTAGTCTTTACTTGGTAACAGCATTCTACAATGGCTATTCCTCTTCTGTGTCTTCACTAGACATTTTCTGGTAATGAATCTTAGCAATGGAGATTCTTCAGTATCAACTGTCCACTGGTTAACATTCCACAGTGGAACACTCAACTGAACTCCTGACGCGTTGATTGTCTTCAAGGTAACTCCTCGGTACAGACCCCATAGAAAACACTTTCTTCTGTTGTTGAGAATGGGTATTTATTGGCCCTTTATCTAGCAATGGATATATGTACACCATACAGAAAACCCCTCGTGACGCAGTTCTGTTGTTGCATGCATTTCGGCCTTATCTAGAAATGGGTCTACATGTCACAATATATTAAGGCCATTACACCAGAATTCACTAGCAGTCCCAGTGAAAGAGATTCAAAATGCACTGAAATGGTGTTAAATGAGATTAGAAAGATCAATCCAGAACAGTGACTTTAAGGATTTATGGTGTACTCTTGTCACAAAAGTGTAGGATTTATACAAGACTACTGCCGCACATAGAGGTTCAACAGCTATCATGTGACAGAGTTTTTGTTCAACTATTCACACAGCCCTCAGAATGTTATTATTTGGTGCTGACCATCCCTTCCAGGTTCCATCATGTTTATGTGCCACTGTGTGGCTCCAGAAGATGACATACTTATCATCAATGTAGGCTCTTCAGCATCTTAACAGGTGGGGCTGGAACCAAATAAAATCAACGCCTCTCTCCAAATGCCCATGTTATGGGAAAGAGGCAAAAATTTGCGTTCATGTTTCATTGTGTCAACTACCCTATTAGCAATTTGGGGTTAAATTTCAGTTGAAAAGAACATGTCAAACAAAGGGGCTACAAACCCTGTCACCCTCAATCAAACACCTTACCACTCCTGCTACAAATACAACCAATGTGTACTAAATGTTCTAAATTTTATTATTCTCTTGTTGACTTATTTCTGTATCTTTCACTTGAAAAGCACATAGTATTTTTATGTGTAATATGTATAATATCAACACCAATCTACCAATCAACAAGGTATCACATCCCAGAAATAGCATACTGGTTCAAACCTCAAAATCTGCAGTTAAATATCATTGCTAACCTTCACGCTGCAGGTTCCTCTCAAAAACTTTCCTCTTCTCTTGAGATGCTGCTGAATTAGACTGTTTTAAGAGGTCATCCCAAACCAACACGAAGTCCACACTTCGAAGCCCATCATGGAAGTAAAGAGATGAACGACATGAAGGCTTCAAACACAGAAATAACAGTTTTGTAAATTCATGTTTTATGAAGAAACCACATCCTCTAATAAAGGCTGTACTGCCAACTTCCCTGCTGTCCTTATAAAATATGACAACATAATTTATCAGAAGATTCTAAAGAGTTCTGACGATGGTGGATGACACACAAAATTACTGGGGTCTTGGACTTTTTCCATCGTCCAGAATTCTAGGTAACAGAGGGCACGATGATTCGGAAACCGGATCTGTTTCAGTCTTCAGGTGAGAAAGGAAGACACCTACTCAGTTGGGCCCCTTAGAAAGGGCTAATCTCAATCAGTGATGATCCCAAATAATTTCACCTATGTATAGACTTAAACTTGAGAGAAGAATATTGGATAAAATTCTGTATGAAGTTGATAGCAGTGATATCCCCCAATAATTACTACACTCAGTTTTATTGCCCTTCTTGTGAGCTGGTACAATAGACTCCTGCCACTGATCAAACAATTTTTCCTTATGCCAAATAAAAGTAATTAGCTTGTGGATCTTAGAGTGTAATATTCTGCCTCCTGCCTGAATAAGTTCTTCTGGAATTTGATCACTACCTGGCGATTTATTCCTTTCCAATTTTTCAATAGCACTTTCAATCTCAAAAGGGCTAGGATCGGGTACTAACAGCTCAACTGTATGTATTGCTATCTGCCTAACATCAATGACTCTATGTATATTCAATAACTGAGAGAAGTAGAGTGGTATCCCACAAAAACATAGAACAGAAGTTGCCATTATGAAATCTCACTTCTATATTGTTTTTAATAACGGAAACTGGGTTCAAGTCCTTCAACGATCTTGTAACTCTTGTGGGAGGTGAAAGTTGGTAACACAGGTTATGGGAAGAGAGACACAAAGAAATATGGAAAAAGTATGAGTAAGTATGATGGCATCTGGGCAGTGACACTGTGTTCAAGTAGGACAGCCACTTCCGGTTCTTACTTGTCTGTCATGAAGTGAAAGCAATGAAACAATTATTATTTTGTTCTGTAATAAACAGTATTACTGGAACATAAAAAGACTACAGACAACTTTTACTGTATTCCTGTCAATGCAACATTATAGCTTAGTTAGGAGTTATAACACAGTATATAGTATAGTATATTCTAAAGGGTTCTGATGATGATATCTAATACACAGAATTTATGTATTTTTGGGCTTGTATCCTAAAAACTAGGCATCACAACGTTTCAAAAACTGGATGTTTCCAACCTCAGGTGTCAGGATAGTCACTCTGCTGGGTCCCTCAGAAAGAGCTAACCTCAGTCACTGGACCTTGGTAGGGACCCAACATAGCAGGTGTCTTGCCCGTCACCTGAAGATGGAAATAGATCCAGTTTCTGAAACACTGTCTTCCCTAGTTCGCAGAATACCAAACGATGGACAAAGACCAAAAACCCAGTAATTTTGAGTATAAAGTATACATAGCAGATATCACACCAATGGATCCATTTGGTTTACTTGGCAAATTTATGCAATGCACACGATAGAAATACTGTAACTAAAAACTGATGAAGATAGAACATCTGAAACATATCCTCTGAAACAACAAACTGTACCTCTTGGACACAGTGCTGTGTTTATATGAATATAATAAATATCATCTATGGCGATTTACACAACAGGTTGAAAACAAAATATGAACAAAACTGACTGCTTAATCTTCAAACATGGATCATCTGAGGCTGATGAAATCCTCCAGCTCCACTTAGTTTAGCACAATCACCAAACACTTCATAAAGGGGAAACAATATATCAATCATTCAATCCACTCCAGCCTATCAATGAAATCCAGTTTAACTTCCAATTACTGAACACATACCTACATATATCTACACAAACCACGCTACCCTCTGCATTAATCACTTCAAGCAATTAAGAACATACATAAACGGCATGACAATTATAAAACAAAGTGACTGGTCTCTGCCAAAAATTACACCACGACGGTTCCACTACCTTGATTTGTGTTTCACTCTGTGAATGGGGAAGAGATGTCCTTCCTCTCTGCAACTCTACAGACTCATTGTCAGTCAGGTTGTCATGCAGATTTGAAATTCTTTTCTTTGCTTCGCCGTTCAACTCTTGTGCATTGTGATACATGCCTTCAACAGACATGGCTACATCTTCTTCCTTAACCTTGACAAACGCAGATGCAAGTGAATCTTCGGAAAGTAAACTATGAGCTTCCATTTCATGCAGCTGGCTCTTACAGGTGATGAGCGAAAAGTCATTTACATATTACTCTATCACTGCAATGGGAAAATCACCATTATTGCCACACGCCAATTCGTCCTCAGACACTGACTCAATATCTTCTGTCATCGAACACCTTCCTAATCTTCCTAACGGTTCCTAACTGCGCTTCATCTCTTCCCTGCAGCTCGGTTCACTGCCTTCGAAGTGGAAAATTCTACAGCTCTGCCTCACTTATTCGCCATTCGCAGCACCGTGAAACTCCCGTGTGATTGGTGGGCAACAAGACCGCCATGACACCACGGCGCAATGCTGCTGCCATTCCTACGCATCCTACATTAACTAAATTTAAAATGGCCGACAGGGCCGAGAGCACAATCGGTAAGAAGGTATGCTAACATAGCAACTATTTTAAGTGCTTCCCCCCGCCCAATGCTTTGTTCGCTAGAATTGCAATAAATACTTTTACAATCAGATCTCTTGTACTGCACAGGCTTTGCCCCCCCAACCTATTTCTATTTTTGAACTGTGTTCAATATCACTAGTCAAGGAGGATGAGGTTGGCAGGGCATGTAGCACGAATCGGGGAGGCGAGGAATGCATATAGGATATTGGTGGTAAAAGCCAGAAGGAAAGAGACTAATGGGAAGACCAAGGTGTAGGTGGGTGGACAATATTAAAATGTAAACCTAGAGAGACAGGTTGGTATGGTATGGATTGGATTGATCTGGCTCACGATAGAGACAAGTGGAGGGCCCTTGTGAACACAGTAATGAACCTTCGGGTTCCATAAAATGCTGGAAAATTCTTGAGTGGCTGCATAATTGGCGGGTTCTCAAGAAGGGCCCAACTCCATAAGTAAGTTCAATATCACTTCACCCATATCTTTTGGGTTGGATTTGAGTGAAATGCTATTAAACTTGGTACCCCATCCTTTCAAAAAAAATAATAATAACGAAATAAGAGCCTCTGCAGCTCTGGAGTACAAGAGATTAGGTTGCAAATTATTTATCTGGAGAAAGTTTCTCCAGAATCTTAAACTGTGCATGATCGTTGAGGTGACTAAATTGTCGGTCTAGCGTGAGCTAATGAAAATAAGGCAGAATCTGTTGTGGACTGACAGGGGGATATAAATATTGCCAATAAAGCCATGTGCAGTATGTAGGTATAGTTATAAAGGTCGTGACATGTAGTTTAGAGGAAGAAGGACGAAATATAGAAAGTAATTGACTGTGAGAAGTGAGAAGGGATAGACCCGTCTTGTCATTAGAAAAGATTCGTATTAGAGGACAAACAGTGAAGCTTACTCCAAGACTAAGATCTGGTCATGAGCGTCTGAATGCGCTGTAAATTAAGAGAAAGTGACTGGCCAACCGTCAGTCGTAAAATAACTTTGAAACGAAGCAAGGAATAAAGAGGAATTTTGTACAAACGAAGCGGTGGGATAAGTGGAATACGAAGGCGAATAGTTGTCATAACCAGGGTGCGCCTTTGGTAAGGCACTGGTGTATGGTTTAGAAGTTGCGTAGTTCGAAGACATGATTATTTTGTGAAAAGAAAAATGCAAGAAATTTGTGCATGTTGGAAGCAAGTCGTACTATATTAGGACTGTGAAGGTAACAAATTTGTATAGAGCTGGTGGTACATTGGTAAAACACTGGCGTAGTGTTGGGAATGTACGGGGTTCGAGACCGCGGTGTCTTTTGTCAATAGAAATTGAAAAGTGAATCAATAAATATGATTTTTCTACAGCTATAAATAAAGTCGTATATATGAGGAGGATCGCAAAAATCAGTATGTCAGATGCTATGGTGGTCTAGAGGTAAGACACCGGCGTTGTAAACATAACGTCCGTGGTTCGAGACCACCACGATTTTTGTAAAAAGATTGTTCTGGAATTATATAGCGAGATGTAACATAAGAGGAAGATTAAAAGTCAAAAATATCTGTGGCGTATTGGTAAAACACTGGCGTAGTCAGAAGTTCCGAGATTCGGGACCAACGAAAGTTTTGTAAAATAGAAATGGAGTTAATAAGATTTTTCTATTAAAAATATATATAAACCAAGTCGTAGAATATGAGAGGGATCGCAGAAAGCTGTAGCATAGATGTTCTGGTGGCCTAGAGGTAAGACACCAGCGTTGTAACGAAGCGGTCCGAGGTTCGGAACCAACGAAATTTTTATAAAATACAAATCGAATTAATAAGATTTTTCTGTAATTATAACAACAGAAGTAACATAAAAGGAAGATTAAAGGTTTAAACTTTCCGTGGCATTGGTGGCCCATTGGTAAAACACCGGCGTAGTGAAGAGGACTTCGAAGGATTGAGACCAAGTATAGTTTTGTGATTTAGAAAGTAAGTTAATTGATTTTTTCTGGAATTATAACCGAAGATGTAGCTTAAGAGGAAGATAAAAGAAAATAAATTTCAGTGGTGCTGGTGGCTCAGGGGTAAGACATCAGCTTAGTGTTCACAAGGTCCCTGGTTCAAAACCAGTAGGATTTTTGTGGAAAAGAAAATGGAAAGAAGTTAAGAGATAGGGTAAGGGAGGAGGGAGGGACCTGGGTGAGGGTAGATTTTTGCTTTTTTTTTTGCGGCCGTTCATTAAGACACTCGCCTAAGCGGGTTTTATTAAAATCCACATGGGATCAAAAAGAAAAAATTTTGGCCCACCGTCCGCCCACCAACCACCCGCCTTTAGGGGGTGACTTTGACTTATTCATTTTAGACCAAGTTCTATGAACGAGAGTTAGCAAGAATTGTATAATAACTGTAGCGCCATCTGTTGACTAGAACCTCAT